TCTCTCTCTCTCTCTCTCTCGCTCTCTCGCGCTCTCGCTCTCTCTCTCTCTCTCTCTCTCTCTCTCTCTCGCTCTCTCGCGCTCTCTCTCTCTCTCTTCACACTCTCCTTCCTTCTGCACTGCGTGCGTCTTGCCAATTCTCATTAGTTCGTTCATACGGCATTGTTCCATCTCGGAAACAATAATAAGGCTCCAACGCTCAACGCATCCGAACGCCGCGCTTGGGGCATCTCATCTCATCTCAATCTCATCTCAATATCTCGTGACGTCGTCGGTCAAAACGACTTCATCTTCTATCGAAAACGCGCGCACACAGGCTGCACGTAGAACAAGACGCGCGGTAGCGACATCCATCGCCATACACGCGACCACGATGCAAGCAACAATAAACGATCAAAATCGAAACGGGAGCGTATAATTTCTCGACCATACTGCTCGTGAGATTTGCATGCAGAGATGCGGTATTCGTTCTGGCCACGACGTCTGCGTTGCTTAGCAGTCGGCAGCAGGGGAGAGCGACGTGCTAGCGACGTGCTAGCGACGTGCTAGCGACGTGCTAATAACCGCCGCATTCAAACAAAACGCAGTGATTTTGTCGCGGTTGCGCAAATATTTCCCCTCGTCGCCAGAATCTTCGCGTTCTATACGCGGGCGACGGAAACCATTTAGACGCTAACAATACCATAGCGCACGGGAGTCCTGCAGCGAATTGATAAACTCACAACAGCCGATCTATTTCTCACTCGTATATGCAAGCATGAATTCTATACGCAAGTATGAGGACTCTAATCACTGATAGCAAAGTCAATGTCAGCTTGAGCGCCCGTATTCGCTACTATGGCATATAAATGTGTCGGCAGAGATTCGCAAACGTATTGCCGACCCGTCCGACGTTAATCTGTCGAGACGATTCGTTTCCGTTGACAAGGATAACGAAACTATGACGAGGCGTGAATCCATAAGCGTCGGTGTACCTCGTTGTGCTTCGGTGTACCTCGTTGTGCTTCGGTGTACTTCGTTGTGCTTCGGTGTACTTCGTTGTGCTTCGGTGTACTTCGTTGTGCTTCGGTGTACTTCGTTGTGCTTCGGTG